GGGGGGGGGGCGGTGTCGGGTCTTCTGGGGCCTGAGTGGCTCTGAGCACGGTCGCCTCTTCTCAGGGAACCACAGTGCTCTGACAACTGCCCCATGTGACGCTCCCCTGGCCCATCAGAGCCCCTACCCCGAGGCAGGAGGCTTCTGCGCGCCCCACAGCCGGTTTCAGGAGGAGCCGACCCAGCCCTACATAAACGCTTTGTTTCCTGTAATTAGACCCTCTGACTGGAGGTGGCTTTTGATGCACTTCACCAGGAGGAGCCTGGAGGTCACTTCCCCCCCCTGCCTCGGAACAGCACCCCCTGCAGTCACGAAGGTGGAAGCGTCCTGGAAACAGGACGGGGCCCTGGCACCCTCAGCTTCAGGAAACCCCAACTCTAACCTTAATCCAGCCCCCTGAACTTTCCACCCTTTCCTCCTCTCCTGGGGAGCTTGGGGGAATTTCCAGAAAGAAGCATTTCTCTCCGCACGGAGAAGAGGCGCACCAGTGGGCAGGCCGCAGTGTGGGACGCCCGCGGGCTGTGCGGTGTGGCGCCCCCGGTGCCCTCCTGCGAGCGTCTGACCTTGAGCCCTCGGCCCTCGGGTCCCTCTCCCCCTCCGCGGAGCGGCAGGGGTCTCCGGCAGCCGGCTGTCCCCCAACGCCCCCCTCCCAGCCGGCAGGCGGAGGCACACGCGGCTGCGCTCGCTTGCAGCCTGGAAACCCCGAGTCAGCGCTGCCGCGGTTCCGGCGGGCGGCGGCGGGCAGGAGCGTGTGCCGCAGCGCTGCAGTGGCCGCGGGGGCGCGGGCGGGGGGTTCGCCGAGGCGGTGGGGACTCCCGGGGCTCCGCGGGCGCGGTGGGGACCAGCAGCCCGGAAAGCCCCGAGTGAGGCCCTCCCAGCACGTTCACACGGGGGCTGTCACTTTCTGGGTTGAACCCCAAACTTGATTCATGATCCTGAGTATGAAGAACTGGAGCGAACAGGAAGGGGCTGCGGCCGCTGGGAGGGGGCCGAGGGGGCCGGGCGGGGGTGCGGCGGCGCCGGCAAGGTCAGGGCCGGGAGCCTGACTCGGGCAGAGATCCCCGCGCCGAGCCGGGGGCCTGAGGTTGAGCGGGGGAGAGACACCGGGCGCAGGACCCCTTCCCCTCCTGCCTGGCCTCCCTGTGCTGGGCTCGCAGGAGGGAGAAAGCGGGGTGCTGGCAGGTGGGAGGGGCTGGGTCCCCACGGCAGAGCCTCGGGTGGGTTCCTACGCGGGGATGGGGGTGGGGGGCAGGCCCGGGTCCTGTGCGGCAGGCGCCCCCCCTCCTCCGGGGGCCCCTCTGCCCCGGTTTCTCGCCTCCCCAGGAGGCCGGTGGGAGCCCCGGGCGCCAGCCGAACTGCACCCTCCGGGGCTGAGGCTGGGGGCAGCCGGCGGCCCGAGCTCTCCGAGCGGAACCCCACCTTCGCTACCCCTCCACACTCTGCCCTTTGTCTGCATCTCTCCTCTGCTCCCTCCCGTTTCTTTTCTTTCTCGACTCAGGAAACCTTCATCCGTATCCCCCGAAGCAAATCGGCTCCCTCCTGCCCGCTAACCGCCCCCGCCGGCCCCTTCCCCAGCCAATCCTCGCCCCCGGGAGGCTCCTAAAGGTGGGGGGCGGTGGGGGCGGGTGGGG